GTTAACTTTAATCTTGGTTTAACTTACTTTTTATCTTTTTCCAGTTTTAAAAATTAGAAAAAGATAAAAAATAAATTAAACCGAAATTAAAGTTGATCTTACATTGGTGGAACCGGGTCTTATTCGATTATTATCGAGGAGAGCATATAATCGATTCGCAAAATGCAAGAAATTGTAGCACGTCGCGGCTCGTTGCATTAATCGAAGGGGGGGAGAGGGAAAGGGGGAGAGGGGAAGGGGGGGGAATCGTCGGCTGCGCGCGAAAACGTGAGGGCCGATGAAACGTGTTGCGTTCATTAATAGCGAGGCGAGTGTGGTACGCGAATTAGCGTCGATTTTATGCGGCGAGAATTATAAGTATAGATGAATTGAAGGTGCGCGGCGCGGCACGCCGTTCACCCGCTGGAAAGCGGGGATCGTTTCGCTCGCCCTTACCTTTTCTTTCGCGGTGTCTTAGCCGATGGTCTTCACGGTCGATGATTTATCTTCACGCGAAGGGCATCTCTCGGGGCGGCGTGCGTAATCCGGTTAATCCAACGTGACACAAGAGAAACGTGCGGCGCGGTTTAGCCGCGCAACAGGTGGTCGTCAAAGGTAAACACTTCACGGATGTATTCATATATAATATACGGGGCGCACCGCGCACAGCACAGCCACAGATTTGTCGCACGACGACAATCGAAAAACTCCGTCCAACGCTCCCACTCGCGGCGTTTTCACATTGACTCACAAACGCTTCCCGTAAGAAGCCACCGCAAGCCACCGCAAGCCACCGCGGGGAACACTACGGATTCGAAGCCGCGGCGGAACGATTTGCCTCTGTCAGCCTCTCTGCCTCTGTCGCGCCGATCAACACTGAACAGTGAACAGTTCCCTCGGTATATTCCGCGCGCGCGAACGGTATTCTCCACTGCGAATGGCCGCGCGAGGAACGTCGCGCGGTGAGAGTTTCAGCAGCGGGAACGTGAAGCGGCAACGAAACGCGCGGCACACAATCACGACATTTTACACCGGCAGCCGGCGAGTGACTGACTTCACTGCAAACTGACTGACACTGGCGGCAAGCGCCAAGCGCCAAGCACCGGCTCGCGCTCCACCATCGGCTTCGACTCCAAACTCTCTGGCACCGGCTTGGTTTGGTACTCGGGGTAATCAATCTCACAAGGGAGATCGTCCTACATTGCAAATAAAGATATCCAAAAATTAATGTTCAGAGTCGAAGAATCACTTTTAATATAGATATTTTAGATGATCAGATATATTGGGATTCTCTATGGATTTTGTATTCCATTTAACCGGAATATGTTTGGCCATTTTAACTTATTGTTAGACACAAAATACGAAATATATTTTTATATATTTTTGAAAAGAAAGTTTCAAATAAATTGTTGTAGAATTTTTGAAGAGGACTGCCTACTTGGACTTTATATAAGGCCCTGAACCAAAAATCTAAGTATCTCATCTGATGGTCCTCTTCAAATCCTATAATAACTTTTATTTGAAATAGTTTTTTTCAAAAATGCATTATTCTCGAGATATTTTGTTAAAATGACTAAACATATTCCGGTTCAAGTTGAATAGGATACAGAATCCATTATAGGATCTTAAGATTTAACCGTCTATCATTTCAAACATCATCTCTTGATTGGTAACGTTTATTATCAGCTTAATATCACTTTTGCAATTAGTATGTTCTCTTATGAGTCTGAACTAAAATATCCTATGTATGCAGCATACTTTGGGTCAATTTTTTTATAGCTGAATTAGTATAAAGACTCTTCCCAATATAAGCACCATTTAGAACGTTGTTATAATGTTATTGAAATGTTTTAAAATGTCTTACTTACTGGACTTAAAATGAAATAGATATATATTTAAAATTTGACGAAAGCAAGAAGAAAAGTTCTAGTGCAATCCAGTGCAGCAATAGAAAACAAATTTTTTATTTGAGAAACATCTTGAGAATGTGTTGAGAACACCTTAAGATATTCGGAAAATGTAGAGATGTCTCTTGGAGGTGCTATGAGAGATAATAAGCAGCATTCTTCAACGTCAAAATTATCTTTGTTTCTCAATTGAGTGAATGTATTATTATCGATTGACACTTTTTCTCATATCCCTTATCTATTTCTAATATTCTACAATTTCGTATCCCTCCTTATACCACAAAAGTTGCAGTAACAATGCAACATTATAGCTATTGCAACGATATTGCTGCAAATTCTGTGTTGTATATGGACCTTATCTGTTTCTAATAATTCTAATATCCTTAAATATATTTTAAGTAAAATTTTGTTCTTGCTTTCATATAGTTTTATATATATGTTTTTGAAATTAAGCACCTAATATAATTATGTTTCCTCATTCCAAATGTTGTATTCGACCAATTGAAATCGTGATTGATAAACAAGATATATAGCCACGCGGCGATTTAAATTCAAATTTTTAAAATAGAACGAGCACTTAATTCGAAGATTTGACTTCTTAATTGTAAAAAGAGAGAGAGAGAGAGAGAGAGAGAGAGAGAGAGAGAGAGAGAGTGAGTGACAAACTGATCACGTGAATAGAGTCGCAATACCGACCGTGTCCAATCAGGACGGGAGCACGTAAGTGCTTCCAGTTTCTTCAATCTTTTCCATGCCTATAGAGTTTTGATGACCGCGTCCAATCAGAGGAGAAGCAGTTTTTTCCTCTTTCTCTCTGACTCAGCAAACGAGAATGGATTAAAATGGATTGAAATTTTTTTCTACCCAAATGCGTATTTTAAATAGCGAATACTTTTTTTTGGATTTAATTGGATTCAATTGGATTCAATTAGATTCAATTGGATGCAATTGAATTGAAAAACTGCATTTCCTATTCAAAATTTTGAATTGAACAGTATTCACAATGCATAGAAAAAGCTAATATTATTTTTAGATTGAAAGGCATAGAGATATGCTCCATGCAATTTCTATAAATGAAAAATTCAGGATTCAAAAGCATTCATTTTAACATTGTGAATCAATATTTCTGAAAATCTAAATTTGATTTCATTGAATCCATTCTCGTTTGCTGAGGAAACTCTGTACTTAATAGTATATCTAACTTAATGAATCATATTCATTTTTCAGTGTCACAAGATTTCATAAAATTACATAGTTTATATAATAACGCTTTTTCAGGGTTTCACGTATTATCTTCAGAGATACCAGAAAGTTTTGGATTACCGCTTTGTTTTCATCCAATGCATTAGCAATAATATTATAGATGAAAACACGGCAATAACAAATTTCTGGTATGCTTCTGTAATAAAATAAAATGAAATTGATTATTCAAGAAAAAGAAAGCGCAACTAAACATAAGTCCATATCAGACGCATTGGAGATTTTCAGTAATCGAGAATGGATCGAAATAGATTCAAATTTTCAAAAATACGCATTCATGAATATTAAAATAAATCCTTTTCAATCCGGAATGCATTTTTATTCATTTATAAAAATTGCGTGAAGCATATTTCTTTCAATGTAAAAATATTATAATATCAGCTTTCTTTCTCTCTTTCTCTCTCTCTCCCCCCCCCTCTCCCTCTCTCTCTCTCTCTCTCTCTCTCTGTACGTACATATATCTCATTTTCTGTGAATACTGCTCAATTCATAATTCTGAATAGGAAGTTTTTGAATCCATTTACATCCAATTGAAAATTTAATTGAATCTAACTGAATCCATGAATTCTTGAATTTGAATTGAGTTCAATTAGATCCAATTGAATAAAAAAAACGTTTTCGCTATTTATAGTTATATTCATAGACAAGCCTTATATTTAAAGTTTTCTTAAATGCAAGGTCTGACTATAAATATGGGCATTAAAATAAATGCATTCAGATAAACAAAATTTCAATCTATTCTTGTTTATTTGGTTAATAATTGCGAATTGAAAATTTGACCAATTCAGTAATTTTTATCCGTTTCATTTTAATTGATTTAATTTTAATTTTTAATTTGTAATTCTTAATTTCCAACATATAGTTATATATATGCTTTAAAAAGACAGATATTCACTATATAAGTGTAATGTATTGCATTTAATTCGAACAGCATTTTTTCTCTCCATTGTAACAAAATATCACCTCTAATATAATTATCAATAATGACAATGCTAAAAAATTATTTAGAAATCTGTGAATGTGTGAAATCGTATTTATCATATGGTCAGTAAAGTAATCGGAATAGAGCCATTATATTATGATATAAGGTCCGCATGCGCGTTAGCAGCCAACACGGTCGACGACCTTAAGCCTTACACACAATGAAGAAATATTAGAACCGTAACAAATATGTATTATTAAATATTAGAGAAATAAAAAATTAGAAATAGGGATTAAATGTAACGCATATTGGATATAAATAAGATATAACATTTACTTCTGTTCCTAATAATATTTCTTTCATAGAAACCTAGCTAACCTACATTTCATTTATTGTACGATCGACTTCTGCGAATAGCATCTAATTGTCCACGTTACTAATTGGCCAATTCAACACAGGACTTTTCGATTGGTTAGTCCAATAAAAAAATTACAAGCTATTGGCTGTGAATAGATATTCATATGTTCAAAAGAGATACTACCGCTACAAAAGTATTCTTAATTGGAACATATAATAAACCATCTCGTGTATTAATAATAAATAGAAAGTCTCATGTTTTGAATTTTTCAAGGTGTTGTAATCACCAACCAATCAGAATCTCTAAACAAAGATAACTAGTTACTAACCATGTACAGTTTTGGCCAAAAGTATAAAGCACCCTTATGAATTAACGTAAACATTCTATATTTAACACAAACAAAATATAAAAAACAGATATATTAAAAAATATGATTTATTTTTATGATAATTTTAACATTTTGTTTTTCTTTTGGATTTCATTATCGTTTCCAAGAAAATGCAATAAATTGAGGCTGATTACATACTTTATGGCGAAGGCTGTATCTTTTTCTACGGGGAATATCTCCTCCTCTCGCTACCTCCTTCCCCTCTTGAGATTACTTTGATATGATAGAGCTCGCAGATTTTGATTGCTTACGGAAAGCCTGCACGACGGAATCGGGACCTCAGTTATCTCGGGTTCGTTCCGGTTAATTCATCGCGAGCATCGAACGTGCATACGTCGGTGGGGTATACACGTTGCAGCTAATTTGTCCTCTAGGTCCATCTTACCCTTGTTATCTCATCCACCTGTCTCATCCTACGCTACGATCGGTTCGACACGTCGAGGACGCGACATCACAGTGGAATTTGTCCACGTGCGACACGTGGAACGGCGCCAGGAAGCGGCGCCGTTGTTGCAGTGTGACGACGGTCCCACCTCGTCCCCCTCCGCTCCTCTCACTGATGGAGAGGATGCTCTAGCCGAGTGCCGACAAATCCCGGTCAACGTCCGTCGCAGTACGATGGAGTTTACGTCGTTGCTGAAGTCTATGCTAAGTGCTTGCCAGTGTCACGCTCACGTCATCGTGTCGTAAAATGGTAAAGTTTCCCCTTCTCTTCTTCTTAGAAAAATTATCTTCGTCGGGAGAATATGAACGAGAAATTTAATCGTGTCTAATTTTGACACTCAATTCACGCGTTGCTGTGATTACGATCGCTGCATATATTCTTTTGTAAGAGGAGATCACTGCATTATAAAAATATATATTTTATTTATTCCATATGATTCTTGAACAAGGAAATAAGAAATATACCAAGGAGTGATTTTATCAGTTCATTATATGTTGCTTTGAATTTAATTATTATCATCCTTTGATAGCTATGGCTGCTTTCCTTTTGGGAGATACAGTCAACATAAGTGTCGTTTTAGCTTCATAGAAGCCAAGGAAGATGGAAAATGTTTATATTGACTGTCACTTAATGTGGAAAACATCCTTTAGTTATTAAAGCAATAATGTAATTATAATGTAAATATTGTGATTTTACATAATTATATTGTCATGGATTCTTATATGTGTTTTTTATATACTTGCATAAAATAAAATTATCTCAGCCTTCAATTTCTTATTTATATATATACATTTGATGTTACATAACATTAAGATAATAATAAGTATTAAATAATAGAATTATTATATGCTATTATTTATAATTTTAGGGTACAACCATATCCCAATTGGAAAGAGATATTGGCTCCGATCAGTTTCCACCTAATGAACACTACTTTGGTTTAGTCAATGTAAGTATTGTGTTACATGAAATTGACGTAATGAAAATTTTGAATTCACTGTGTTTGTGATAAGAATATATTCTTGCAGTTTGGTAATACCTGTTATAGCAATTCAGTGCTACAAGCTTTATATTTTTGTCGACCGTTTAGAGAAAAGGTTTTGGAATACAAAGCTAGAAATAAGCGAACTAAAGAAACTCTACTAACATGTTTGGCAGACCTGTTTTACAGTATTGCAACCCAAAAGAAAAAAGTAGGTTCTATAGCACCAAAGAAATTTATCGCCAGATTAAGGAAAGAGAAAGGTGGGTATTTTAAAAGATAACAGATTCAGATTTTGTAGTACAGTAACATTGGATGCAGTTCACTTGGCATTAAAAAGCATTTGATTGATCATTTGGAAGAAAGAATTTTACTAATTAACCAAAGAATGCTTTGAAGTGTTTGTAGTATCAAATGAACCATACCATTGTCATAACTTTAATATCTTCTTTTTTTAGAGGAATTTGATAATTATATGCAACAAGATGCGCATGAATTTTTGAACTTCCTTATAAATCACATAAATGAAATTATTTTGGGTGAGTATTTGTTTATCGCTCTTGGATGGCACTCATAGCACGATATTTACCGTCGTGATTTCACACATCAGCGGAGAGAACTCAGAGCAAGCCGACTGGAGGGAAGTGTGGGGCAGGAGATGCTGCAGGTTCGCCACCAGAGCCCACATGGGTACATGAGATATTCCAAGGGATATTGACGTCGGAAACACGCTGCCTTAACTGTGAGACTGTCTCTAGTAAAGACGAGGATTTCTTCGATCTGCAAGTTGACGTAGATCAAAATACGTCGATCACACACTGCCTCAGATGTTTCTCCAATACAGAGACCCTGTGTAGTGACAACAAATTTAAATGCGATCACTGCAGCAGTTACCAGGAAGCTCAGGTATTAATAAAACGATATTTGATTTACCGTTTATCTTTTGGATAAATCACATAAATCGATTATTGAAATTATATAAATTATTGAAATATGATCGTTTTTAATTACAGAAACGAATGAGAGTGAAAAAACTACCTATGATATTAGCGTTGCATCTAAAAAGATTTAAATATGTGGAACAATACAATCGTCACATAAAAGTATCTCACAGAGTAGTTTTTCCATTGGAGCTCAGACTTTTCAATACTGTTAGTATTGATATTGTTATTTATAAAAACATAATAAACCTCAGAAAATATATTTCTTTCTAAATAATTTTAATTATTTTTAAAACTTTCAATAAATTATTTCACTGCTTAAATATAATATATAATTATGTAATTTGATTGTAGAGTGATGATGCTGTAAATCCAGATCGTTTGTATGATCTGGTGGCAGTTGTGATACATTGTGGAAGTGGGCCTAATCGAGGGCATTACATTTCTATAGTTAAAAGTCATGGATTCTGGTTGCTCTTCGACGATGATATGGTTGACGTAAGTGTTTCTGCTTTAATATCTTGCCTCTATATAAATATTTATTAAATAAGAAAGGATATTAATAAGTACCTTTTTATGTCCTTAGAAAATTGATGCGTCAACTATAGAAGATTTTTATGGACTCACATCAGATATTCAGAAGAGCTCTGAAACTGGTTATATCCTGTTCTACCAATCGCGAGATTGTAGTTAAAGTTTAATATGAATAGCAATTGAAGATAAGCACTCCTATACGCTAATTTCGTATTTTAACAAAGTGCGCGGTATATGTGAATTTTTGAATGTTCTAATGGTTTGTCAGATTATTTATGAGAATGATGGATATACGATGTTTGATAATGTTTTGGCTCGTAGAATATAAAAAGAGAAGCGAAAAATAGTTACATAATTTATCTAAATTTTTATATAGAATTTTTGGTTTGTATATATAAACCAGCAGTTGGAGAAAATTGGGAAGTATTAGGTGATGCTTTATATTTATTTATGTTTAAAAGCTAGTCCGCCTTTTGAAGAGAATGAATAATTTACTTTATTACAATAACTTAAACGTGTCCATAAAGAGAAACGTTAGCACGTTCAGATTCTATACAAATGTAAAGATATGACTGAGAATAAAAATATTGTTATGAGACTATGCATTTCGCTTATTTATCGTATTAGGAGCGGCAACATAAATTTGTAGCACGAAATCAAAATTGACTTCTCTAAAGTATTACCACTTTGTTCAATAATGTTCTTGAAAAAACAATTTTATTCAATTATTCCGATTCTTGAAATTGTGATAATATATTATGTAAGATAAATATACCAGTTAGTGGATATGAATCAATTGTTGAACAAAGTGATAAAACATTTCAAATATTAATGATATGTGATTCTAAATAAATTCATTATTAGATTTTTATAAACAAATGATTTAGAGTCGCATATGCCATTAAAAGTTAAATATTTAAAAATTGTACTGTGTAATCACTTTGTTGAATCATATTGAATGAAAAAATTACATGAATTGAATCATATCTATTAATTATCTCCATTAACTAGTACATTATCTTAATGTTGGGTTCAGTATGCTTGGGGAAAAAACCTAACGATAATCTGATTTCAATACGTTATGTAATATTATGATTAATATAATTTAATCATAAAATTAAAATCTATAATTGAATAAACTTTAATTCATTTTAATTAAATAATTACATTTATGTGTGCATTTTATTTGATGTTATTTAATGTGATGTTAATTTTTGACAGTATTAAAAATAATGCAAATCTTTACTTTGAAAATTTTAGTTTATTTAATATTTTAAGCAATAAATTCATATGGAACAGGTGCAAGCAAGATAGGTGCTTCACGTCCTGACACAATGTGAGCTTTAGAAGTTTCAGCAGGCTGCCTTTTGAATTCTACGTGAATATGCGTCTCTTTTGCTTCCTTCCTGAGCCTCTCGTTCTCCTTAACGCGCTTAAGGAAATCATCTCTACACTTGGAATGGCTCAAGTGCTCGATGCGTACATTAATCCTCTTGGCGATAATACGTCCGCGTACTCTCTTGTTCACAATCACTCCCAGGGCATGTGCTGTCACGTTGAACACACGGCCAGTCTTGCCGTGATAAACTTTGTACGGCATACCTTTTTGCACGGCACCGTTTCCCTTGATGTCCACAATATCACCGACTTTATATGTCTTCATATACATAGACAGGGGAATAGTTCCATGTTTACGGAACTTGCGGGAGAACAAGTCCCTCGTACCACGTCTATAACCCTTTGAATTGGTCATGGTAATATATTAAACTGTAAAAAAAAAAAGAACACATATGCAATCGCTGAAGCAAAATCACAATATATGTGAAGGACTTAAGACTTCTTTAAAAAAATACACATCAATTAAATATAAATATAAAATTCAAATATAATTAAATAAATTATAATATTATTGTAAATTCAGGCTGAAACAGAATATTTTTAATCAATTTGAATATTCTCATACGTCGTTTGCAGATCTTATCCTATATAAGAGTGGCTGTCGACCTTCGTTTGAAGGTAGGAGCAATAAAAGAATTTAACCTAACTCGAATGTTCCTACAATTTTTTGTACGGATCTAATGACAAATAACATAATATTTCATGGCTTATGTGATAATTTATGTACTGAAAAACGCGATTTGTCGATAACAAACAATATTATCAGATAAATTTTTACGTGTAATATGTAAAATGCACGTGGCTTAACGCGAGTAGACTCAACAGAGTGAAGTCTAGAGTTTCATATTCTCTAACCAAAATAGAAACGATCATATAATAGCAAACAAAAGTAGATATTTATTTTCGCTGCATAAAAGAAAAATATTCTAATTCGGCCTGAATTTTAAAGAATAATTTGAAAATGTTACAAACGCACATAGACAATTCACGTTCACTGCCGTTGCCACAAAAGAAAAGATATTCTAGAGAAGCGACACCGTGCACAGAATTTATGCGGAATCAACATTTCGGCACGCGTGACGTCACATGACGCATATCATCAAGCTGAAAACACATGAGTGAGTTCAAGGCGGCATGCTAAAGCTAGTCACACACACTTACCGTACAGTAAGATTTTTAACCAATCGCGTTGTTTGATTGTTACAGTTACAGTTATGGATGACCGAATCGAGCAACGCGATTGATCGAAAACCTATGTTATGCCCGTATCACATTAGCGATTGAAGATTACGTCTGGGTTAATACCAATCTGATTTTTATCCAACCTTTCTGATGCATAGCCTACAATGGACAGTAGCAGTAGTGGATTAAGGAGTAAGTATAGAAATCGACCAATCATAGTTGAATGTGAGAAAAATAATCAACTATAATTGGTCGATTTCTACGCTTACTCCTTAATGAACTACTATTACTGCCCATTATATTGGGTCATCTAAAAAGTATCCGCGGTACTTTGTCACTACAATATAACACAGTATATACAGTAGCGCAATTCTCCTGATTTTATGTTGGCCAAAATGGAGTGCGCATGTGTGAAATAAATTGCCCTGTCTCTTTTTCTTCTTTTTTTATTACTCTGTCTTTTTCTTTCTCTATTTAAATAAGTTTCAATGTTCTATTTAAACATTTGTCTTTCAAGTATATATGGTTCAAAGTATAAATTTAGAGGGAAGTATTACGTGCATTGTCCATTTGGTGAAATGTGAGAAATCTTGAGACATTGGTTTAATTTTCGTGAAAAAGTGAAAAAGTAAACAAAAGTAACATAGGAAAGAGCAAGAAAGATTTCTTTTTATTGTATTTTAAACTTATTTTTTGGACATATAAATTTCTTTTTTATCAACTTTCTCATAATATTTTCATAGATATATAATTACATAATATTTCTTTATACAAATATACATTTTTAAGTTAATTTAATATTTGCTCTAATATGCTGCAATATGTTCCTACAATAGCACTTACTCACTTCAACGAATTCGTTGGATTGCGATGCGAATAAATGCGAGTTTTGCGAAGAATTTTGACAGAATGAAAAGAGAAAAAAGTTTAGGTAACACTGTGGCAACGCTAGATAACTTATTTATTTTACGCACATTATTTATCATACGCACTCCATTTTGCTAATACTAACATCAAAGATGCCGACAGAGAATTGCGCTACTGTATATACTGTATATACTATGCTTCTAATATTAGAAAATATTTTCAACTCTGTTGGGTAAAAGTTTATCTAGTTAACAAGATGGAGGTTCTCAATATTAACCTGTGTCGACTCATTGATGACCAAGAATAGAGTGCAGTTCTAAGAGGAATATCTATTATTACTCTTTTGCAAGTAGATTAAATCCAATCTCACAGATATATCTTCTCTGAGGAAGCAGAGCCACTAGGACCAGTCATACTCTCTGAGACTATTTCAATAACATTCACTAGAAACATCCATTAGAGTGTCACTCCCATCAACAGACTGCTGAAAGAAAACAGAAAGTACTAAGATCGCATGACTTATCAAACAGCTGAACTTGTGGCAACTTCAAATCATCAGAAATACTTTTGAATTTTCACCATATTAGAACTATGAGAGCTAGAACCCAGATCAAAAGCTCTCTTGCTCTCTTGCTCTAAAAGTTTTTCTCTTTAAGGAAGTTAACCTTGAGTCTCCCATATCAAAACAAACAACATTCACCTCAATTATACAAACACAAGAATGAAAAGAAAACTTCTGTAATAAATATAAAGAAAAGATATTAGTAAATAAATTTAATAACAAGAATATATATAACTATGACAACAAAATTAGTAAATAGAACATTTAAGACAATTAAAACACTTTGGTGATTAAATTAGTATATAAATTAATATATAATACTTATATGATAAGAAAATTAAGAAGGAATTATGAATTATTCAATGCTAATGAGTAAACATTCACCTATAAAATTACTCATAATACATAATATTAACACCAGAGAATTATTTAGTGAAGAGTTCAAACCGAAAAGAAAGTCTTTTAAATGAAAGTCTTCTTTTTTTATAATAACGAAAACTAAAGTTGAAATTCGAAAAAATAATAATGAGAACATAAAAATTAAGTCCCCATTCGCTTTTCCTTAATCTATTCTTCTTTTAATATAGATCAAATCTGTCCAATTTGAACTCTGGAGGCAAAGTCATCGATGCAAAAAAAATCAATATGAGTAAGATTTCGGAGACTGTAAAATGTCGATATGTGTCTGAATGATCGTGCTTATCAACACTTTGTAGTACCTGAAATCTTACATTGAATTTTTTTGCGTCGATAGCTTTGTATTTCTAATGTAGATCTTCAATTCCAGTAGACGATCCAGAACAATTTCAGAGAGAGAATTTAGCACATGGGTCCGTCCGAGTTTAAGATGGCCCGATCAGCATATACAAATAAAAAACCTCGGCAAGAAGAGAACCAGACTGCAGCAACTCAGACTGATCAAGACTTTGGTGCTATCTCAGTAGAGTAAGAAATTCTTTCAAGCTCATATGCGTATGGAGCAATGAAATTTCGCACAAATTCCGATCCACTGTCAATCCCGATCGACGGTGGAATCAGTTAAACCTACAGTTTAACGCCAGATCCAAACAACGCTAATGATCAAAGGTCCCTTAATCATCAGATAGAGCAATTTAAACGCAAAAAATTGTATTTAATGCACAATAATAAAATTAATAAATATTGCATAAGATAAATGTCTTATATACAATGTTTAGTACAATCAGATTTAGACAACTCTTTGTCCAGTTATGTCGCAATCTCTTTCGTATCCATAATTTTTTGTTTGTGTCTTGACGGGCTGCTAGGCGTAAATAATACGTGCAACACTCTTACTCAAGAGCGACAGTATCATGAATATAAGAAAGAAAATTTTAATATCAATTTGACAAAAAAAAAAAATAATCATTTGTAAAATCAAAAGTGTGTCTAAAGCTGACCGTTGAATGAATATACATAACTTAATTATGTCGCGATCTCTTTCGTATCCATAATTTCTTGTTCGCGTCTTGACGGGTTGCTAGGCGTAAATAATACGTGCAACACTCTGACCCAAGAGTGACAGTATCATGAATATAAGAAAGAAAATTTTCATAACAGTTTGACAAAAAAAAAACAATCATTTGTAAAATCAAAAAGAAGTGTGTCTAAAGCTGACTGTCAAATGAATATATATAACTTAATTATAACGCTTACAGACAATATAAATATAAAAACATATAAAAATATGTTAAATCGTATTAATTAACAGTAATTGCAGAGCCTAGTTGTCGCATTAATTTGTAGCATTCCTGAAGACGTTTCCTGTCCCCTATTCGCTCGAGCGTCTTGGCAGCCTCTGCGAGCATTCCAGCTCGTTCACCCGGCGAGGCTAACAGCAACGTCGGTAGATGCCTGCACGCCAGACATAACGCGACCGCATGCTCTCTCTCACTGTTATTTTGCTCCTGCGATCGATCCTTTCCACATATAATTGAAGAACGCGAGTTTCTGTGATGCAGACTTCGATCCAGTAAAATCTGAGTCTTAACTGGTGTTGCTCCGGCCATGATACGTGCTGTAGCCTCATATAGGAATACTCGTGCCAATACAGACTGACAAAAAAGTAAACAACATTATAAGGAAGTTACACACATACAATCAAATAAGTGGTTTTTTCAACCAACTTCTTCACGGTTAACATTTTTATTTTTTTCTCTCTACGTTGAAGAACAAAAGAGAAAAGATGAATCGTGTAAAAAGTTCAGCTACAAAGAAGGCATATTATTTTACTATGTCCGCTTGAATCTTATTAAAACGACAAATTAAAATGGAAATTATGGACTCACGCTTACCGGGATGTGCTGACACAACTGTCTCAAGCACGCCAAATCACGCTGGAACCCAGCAAGAGACACGCTTGCAATCGATCTTTCTGGTTCCACATCCATTTCTTGCCAAAGAATTGTGCGTATCTCGAGAAGCCAATCGCAAACCAATAATTGAGTAAGCTGAAAGATAAGCAAGCTTAATCAGTAGGAAATAAAAAAATTGCATACACGACTCACATAAAGTAGACACAAAACTATTACATATACATATAAATGGTGCTGCGACCTGCCACAGGAGTTGCACTGCAGGAGTATTGCATAGTTATATTTCATGCAATGCAACTACAATGCACACTTGTAACAGGTAAACGATAGCACAGTTTACGCTTGAAAGAAGTTACCCTTAGCATGTGCAAATAAACAAAAAGTACTATAAAAAGTGACTATAAGTATACAATGTTTCTATTTTGTTAAACTTACCAAGACTTGCTGCGAAGATTGCTCTTTGCAATGATAGTACACCATAGATTGCTCGAGTAGTAATCCCGCTTGATCAATGAAACGCATAGAAACTAACTTTGTAGGATTTTTTGCCACCTGGAGAACACTAAGAATAGCATGAGGTAATGGGCTGCTACTGCTGTTGTCGCCAACTTGGAAGTTCCTCTCGTAGGGAAATTTACTTTCCACAATACTCCATGCCTTTGAATCTTCTTCTCCTAATCTCCAACTCGCGGCAGCGCAGATTACAGCTCCCCACCATAATCCAATCTCATCTTCGCATGCTGCAAAAATAAAGAAAAAAATAAAATATATTGCGCAATAATATTCAACTTGCAAACAAAAAAATAGGTCAGTGTAACGTTATTGTGATTTTTTTTTACTGAATATATGCTAAATATAATTACAATAATAATAATATAATTAAAAAAAAATTAATGTGATATTTTGTTTTAATTTCAAATAGTCTTTTCGTACTTGCTACACTAATTTTATCAGCATACGGGAAACAGGCTTCCACTTCCGCAGAAGCCATAATCATCCGTCCTAATTCAAGTACAGAGGATGCATGACATTCTCCAACCGTGCCGGTCAATAAACGTAGACACTGTTCGATCAGATGATGCCTGTACGCACGAGCCGCATATGACAACGGATCTGCTCGACTGTTCTGTGATGTGAATTCGTTATCAGACTGTTTCTTGTACTGCCACTTTTGAGATGCCAAGAACTTAGCGCCTTCGTCGGTCATGATCCATTTCAATTTCGGAGGAACGGCGCAAGAGGATAACAAGACGCGTGCTTTACCCAGATAATATTTGTGTATGTATGGGAAGAAGGACTGTTTTAGACATAATGCGACGTTCATGTAGATCTCTGCCAAAAGTGGTTTTGGCATACTCTCGCCAGCAGTTTCCGCGTAATTGACGGCGCAAAGAGCAAGATATAACGTTGAATCTTTAGTTCCTTCAGACATACGAAGACAGAGCATATGCTGGTAAATGATGGCAATTTCCACGGCGGATGTCTCCGCCTGTTGCCGTTCTGATTTCTCTGACAACCACTTGCTGATGTGCATGACCCATCTACCCAGCCATAATTTGTGAAGAGTCTGCCGCACTATTTGCCACGTGGTTGCGAGAAAAACCTCCGTACGTGATAACGGGAAGGATCGGCCGAAATACTGCAAGCACTGATGTAAATCTCGATATGCCTGATTGCATTCGTGTTTGGATATGTTGAATTCGGCTTGACGTCTCCAACGACGTATTTCGAGAAAGACTTTGCTGTCGGTAGGCAAAATGGGATCACCGTAAAATAACAGTTTATAGAGACAAATTGCCAAGAGTATTAGATTAGTAAACCAGAGGACAATATTGCTCCACGGTTGCTTGTCCGATTCTAACTGATCTGAAAATGAAAAGAAAAAGAGTGTATTAACAGTAAAAAAAATGTATCAAAATCGTGATTGGAAAAAATATATAATCCATGTGCGTTTATTACCTGGATAATTGAGTATCGTTCGTCCATCCAGTTTCGTATTCACATAATCATAATTGAATCTTCCAATATTGTTCATAAGGATACCAAGAGGATTGAATGCTAAAAATAATAGCATGAATCCGCATAATGTCAGTCGAGTGTGATCTTTCATGCCTCCAATGGATGAAGTTGGTACAGAGTGTAAATTGTGCAACGCATCTGAATCGTCTTTTACCGACGACGGGGATGGTGGTGACGGCGGCGCAGGTGCGGGTGACAAAGATGGTTCGCTCGAATCGGAGCGTGGAGGTGTCAGCTCTCCACACTGGATTTGTTGGTACAAATCACGAAGATTGTGCCGTTGCGCAGACATCTTCAACGCCATATTTTCAGCCTTTAATTTTGCACTGTAATTCTGCAGATGTCTGTATTACACAAAACAAGAAATTCAAAAGCTATCTTTCTTGTTAATATACCGCGAGGTAAAACTAAACTTATCATTCTTGCCTAATGTAGTCGATGGTTTTTCGTAAAATTGCCGACTTGTTTAGCTTGGCATCAATTCCGACTACAATGTTTTTCAATTCAATTATCTTATCATTGATCGACGTCCTATAACGACGCTCAATAGCATTGTGGGCACTGCGTTTCACTTCTCTCACTCTTGGTACGCTCACATGTGTGCCTGTGTTCAGACGATTAATTTGTACCTTGTCAGTGTCCAATACTACAGGTATCCCTTGAATCAAACAATATCATTAATTAGCATTAAATTAATGCATGCTATAAAATTACATTTACATTCTTATTTCATATAATTATTTATTAAAATAAAAATAGTCTTGTAGCTATAAGAATAAATCAAATACAATAAAATCCCTATATAAATCTCTGTTATTAAGACGATAAGATATAATTTGCGAACAATTGAAATATACTTAACAAAGTTAATTATACATGCACTGCATTTATAGTCAACTTTGTTGTTAAGTACATTCTAATTGTTTAGGTATTTTAATTGTATAGACATTTTGCTTATATTTGATAATCATTCATATTTATATCCAAATAGTATAAATCTCTGTATAGCACGGATCTCAAGAAATATCCCCTATGTTGTAAGAACATTTCGAGGACATTCCTAAGATAGAATGTACTATGTAGATATATAAATATAATAATATTGAGAAACCTCTATAATAATATTGAGAATTCTTAATTGTATTTATTTACCGGTAGTTAACACTGTTCCATTTGTAGTATTCACAAGAGTATGTATTTGATGTGGAACAGGAGTCGATGTGATGGTTTGTCCACCCTTTGAATACACGAGAGATTCTGACTTAATTAATTTGGCCGGTAGAAGTAGCTGTCGCTGTTGAGTAACAGGAGCTAGAGTTACAACGTTCGGCGACTGTACATTAAAATTCACATTTTGTGGTATAGTGTACTGTGAGCTGAATACTGTAGGCTTTGTCGAAGCTACTATTCTCTGTGGTCTATTCTGTGGCACTGATTGTCACCATAACATTTGAGTTTGATGGCTCAAGGATAGCTGGATCTTTGAAGTCTTTAAATTCATCATTATTGATATTTAAGAAGTTAAATGTGTCTCCATCAACTGGCATTGGCTCATCCAATTCGGAAAGTAAAGCCTCATCACTGAAAAGCTCATTCTTCAGCAATTCACTCTCACAATTTGTCAGAAGATCTGCAAATCAACAATTATATTTAACAACAATAATAAAACTATAATAATATCTAATAAAATATTTGACATAAAAAAATATCAATTATAGTCAAATATATTTTGAAATTTCTTCAACTATTTTTAATATAATTATAGAAAAATATGTAAATTAAAATAATTGTATATAGCATATGATTTCATAGACCAGTAGAAATAATTATTAAGGCTCATCAATGTAAGATTAACTTTAATCTTGATTCAATTGTTTATCTTTTTTAATTTTTAGAACGTTAAATGTTAACGTGTGAAATATTTTATCATTATTGATAAATTACAGTAATAATTATTTACTTGCAGATTCTTAGAATCAGAAAAAGATAAAGTAAATTGAAGTAAGATTAATTTTACATTGGTGGAAGTGGAAGTATAAGTAATCAATGTGATATGTTTATGTTTATGTCGCTTCCAAACAAATGTATAGCAACAATCAAAACAAGTAAGAGATTAAACAATATTATCTCTTCAATAATGAAGATAGGGTGCGTTTTTTAATTCATCAATTGATAAATCGCATTACGCGCAAATGTATTTTCCGCGAAAAAGCGTATTTGCGTATAACGTGACTAATCAATCGATGAATTAAAAAATATTAGCCCATAATATCTAACGATAAAATATAACATTAGCTTCTCGAAATACGCGCGAATACGTTTGTGGAGGAGAGAGAGGAATAGAGAAAGTGAAAGAGAGGACGCGATACACATTGAAAAAAACGGAGCGTAAGACCTACCATCGATGCCAGTGACTTCGTTCAAATTGAAGCTGTCATTCGATTGAAAATTGGGAAAGTCATTCTCCTGGGCTGATGCCCAGCCGCCCGAGTCTGCCATTGTCGTTGTCGGCCTCTAACGTTCGCGATCACGCTGAAGAAAACTCACGAGCCGTTGATTTTGCAGAACGATTACACGATACGTCAAAACGCAGTAGACGAAAAATTACGAACGATCGTACGACCCTCGTGCGACCAATCCGAGCTGTCGCTGCCGATCAGACGATGTTACGTCATCGACGCGAGTTCCTAAACTTACCTTACTCACCTAAACTTCGCAGAATGCTCATAACTCCGTGAGTCCGTTCGAAAAAATCCTTGACACTGGTTTGTTCAGAAAGAAGCAATGCCTTCGTGCCGCGCTACCAATGATCACAGAGAAAATATTACTAGAATCGTAATCAAGGACTTTTGGGTTTCAGAAAATTCTAATAATGATTCTAGAGCCTTTACTTGGCGGCAATCACTGTAATTTCGGTCTTAACCACTTTTAACGTTCCCTTCATTTCAACCGTTGATTTGAATCGAATAACACGTGCGAATATTTTCGTTCATTTATATTAAGTGAGCAGGAAACACGTAGTGTCTCACATTAAAAGGAAGCATAGCATCGAAGTGCGAGACCAGCTGTCTTCATAAATACAATTTCGCTCAAAGCAATCGTTGGCTCCCGTAAAAAAACGATACAAAAATGAATCTATCTTCTCAAGATAACTTAAATGCGATTGATTCCAGTTGCTATTCAACTTCTCTAACAGGTAAATTTATTATTTTATCTTTTGTAAATTGCACGAATACATTACAATATATTACTTATATTACATAACTCTTATTTATATACTACATGTATATTTTTTATTTATATGCTGATGTCCAGCCAAAGATCAAGACTAAAGACTAGCCAGAATAATGTTCTGATCATGTTAACGATTTTCTCAAAATTCTAAGAAAGAGAAAGATATACTTACATACTTTGTTTCTGTATACTAACTTTAATTAAGATTATAAGGCCTGTTCTTTTTGGCTGAACTTTTGCACCAGTTCATCTTTCTTTCTTTTCTTTTTTCTTGGAGAGAAAAGGAAGAAAGATGAATTGGTGTAAAAATTCAGCCAAAAAAACAGGTCTATAGATTAAAACATACAATACATTTTTATATATAATTTATTATATTTATATATAATATATATATACATATTTATATATAATATATAATTTTCAACAAGAGAATATTTGTTCTTTTTGAAAATCGTTTTATTTTTATTTTTATCAATTTCAGTTTTAAAAGTATATATATCTTTTTCTCTTGTAAAATTTTAATAAAATTGCTTTGTTTAAGATCTGTAGTCATGACCAAATTTATAGTGTGTTAATAAAGTTGAATAGATGAAAAAAATTTATATGAACTTATGTTCAAAAATGCTTTATTAAAAAGTATTATAAACATTCAAATATTTATAAAATATTTATGGAATGCATTCATTACTATTTTTAGTACAATAGGAATATTCAAATGAGTTTGACATATAAGTCTATTCTTTTAGAAGAATTTTATGGATTAATTCTAAACAGAATTTTAAGATTTGTTACATGTTCTTGTAAAACTTATAAGAATTTACGACTAATATTTTAATTTTATACATATCATACAATTATTTGTAAATATCTATGATTTCTTATAAATTTTATGGCTAGTAAGAAGCTATCTGTAAAAATATTGTATAAAGATATAAGCTTAAAAAATTTTTACAAGATTGTGTTGTGAGCCTTACGATTCTGTTTAGAATTTAGACATTAATTGTTAAATTTAAGAAATAGTAATAAATGTATTCTATATAAGCTTACATATATATAAGTTTGATTCCCAATCTTTATGGATATACTCCTTAGATGTGTATTTATAAATATCATACAATAAGGCTAAGTTTTCACTTGACACTACAATGCTCATTTTCAGCATCAAAACAAATCATATGATCAAAATTGACAAATATCAAGAATTAATTTTAATCGTGTGTTTTGATGCTGGAAATGAGCGTTGTAAGGTAAAAATTCAGCCCAATATTTGATACTTGATTATTTGGTTTTGAGAACTTCAATAAAGGATTTAGCAAAGAGATATTATAGACTTTGTCTTCTCTTTTAAAAATATATCAATGTATTAAATACACTTCAGTGATGCTTGTCTAAAATTTTCTCTTGTAGAAGATACATTAATTGCCCCAAGTGATGTTAAATTTAATAATGGTCCATTAGAAGAAGTGAAAAAGCCAATAAAACGTAGAAGAAATTCCAGCGAAATTGAACTTAAAAAGAAAGAGGAGGAGGAATATAATAAGGAAACAAACGAACAGAGATACAAACAATTGATGCATTTGTTGCATAAAAGCAAATTTTACTCGTCTTATTTGATAAATAAGATTGATGATAAAAATAAAAATAAAAATAATAAAAATGAAAAGACTGCCAAAAAGAATCATTACAAACCTGTTCCACAAAAGAAGTTTATCACTGAAAATGATGAAAATATATCACCAGTAAAGAAGAAGAGGAAAGCTAGTGAAAAAAAACATAACATACAAGAATACATATCTACAGAGGCAAGTATAATAAGATTTGGATTCTTGGATAATACACAGACACAATTTAAAATTGATTAAATGTTTTACAGATAACTAGACAAGTAAAATCAAGAGAAAAAAAGAATCTGAGCCTAGAAGAGATAGAGACAGAATTATCTGCGGATTCGGATAATGAACTGAAATTCGAACCGGAATCAAAAGCAAATGTTAGCAGCACTGATATTGTACCGACATTACCGAAATATTTTTGTGGCAATCTGCGCAATTATCAACTAAAGGGTTTAGAATGGTTAAAGTTGCTTCATAAAAATGGCCTGAGTGGAATCTTGGCTGATGAAATGGGACTTGGAAAAACAATACAAACGATAGCTTTGATATGTCATCTTGTAGAAGAAAGACAAGCAGGACCTTATTTAATAATTGCACCTCTCTCTACTATATCAAATTGGCTAATAGAATTTGAAAGATTCGCTCCCGCCATACCGGTCTTTTTATTCCATGGCACAATAAAAGAAAGAGATGCTGTACGCATGAAAATTAAATGTACACATCCTGTCGAAGATAATTATAAGACACAGCCTGTTGTACTCACTACATACGAAATACCATTATACGAAAGTAAATTCTTTCAATCTCTAAGTTGGAAATACATCATAATAGATGAAGGACATAGAATAAAAAATTATAAATGTAAACTGATCAAGTATGTAGCCATTAAAAACTGATCAGTGATTTAGTTATTTTCAAAACTGATTACAAGTTCAATAAAATAGATATTTCGATATATCTATATTTGGCAGACACTTAAAAAATATACTTGATTTAGAAAATAATTTTCTCATTTAATTGAACTTTTCTATTATTTTTCTTTTAACATTAAGATTTGTATATAATGTTTATTTTTTTAGAGTGCTGCACGATGTTCGTTCCATGAATAGGCTAATATTAACTGGAACTCCACTTCAAAATAATTTATCCGAGTTATGGTCTCTTTTGAATTTCCTATTACCAGAAATCTTTGATGATTTGGATACATTTGAATCGTGGTTTGACGTTAAAGAACTTCAATATCAACATGGCACTGAAAAACTTCTGAAGCAGGAAGAAGAGAAACATGTATTATTATCATTGCGTGAAATTTTAAAACCATTTATGTTAAGACGAGTAAAATCTGAAGTTTGTTTAGAAATTCCTCCTAAGAAAGAGTTGATTGTTTATGCGCCGCTCACGGAATTGCAATACGATTTATACAAAGCAGTATTAAATTACGATTTAGAAATGTTAAGTAAAATCGAGGTATCGGATCTGATTATACAAACTGTAAATGGTGAAAGACCGAAAAGACAATGCTTTTTGAGAAGTCCGTACGGATCTATCAAGGACAAATCCAAGGATAGAGTATTGAATATTTCAGTACAAGAAAATAATAATATTGAACCATATAAGAAACCAACGAAATCTGAAGACAAATTATCGAAATGGAAACAATATACTGATGTCACAGAACGTAATAGAGAGTTTCTTGTCCGCATTAATTATCAAAATAGAAGTAAGTATTGTTGCATTAATACAATATTTCACATGGTTTTCACGTTTTATGTTATTTCACTTTTATTTATATTTTCTAGTGCCAATGTATAAAAAGATAGTGAATCATCCATACTTGGTTCACTGCCCATTGAATTCGACTGGTTTACCAAAAATTGATACTGATTTAATCAGATCCTCCGGTAAACTTTTAGTATTGGACGCTATGCTGGCAAAACTGAAAATGCGAGGTCACAAAGTTTTATTATTTTCGACAATGACTATGATCTTAGATATGATTGAAGATTATCTTACGTTACGAGATTATAATTATGTGAGATTGGATGGTGCCACTAAAATTGAAGCACGGAAACAAAATATTGCTGCTTTTAATAACGATCCAGATTTGTTCTTGTTCCTTATATCAATTAGAGCTGGTGGAGTAGGATTAAATTTGATGGGTGCTGATACCGTTATTATATATGATAGTGATTGGGTAAGTTAATATCAGTATAATTTTCCACACTTTCTATCTTTGCTGATATTCGTATTTTATTCACATTTGTTTTTCAATGCAAGAATCCACAAGTGGACATACAAGCTATGGCTCGATGTCATAGAATAGGGCAAACAAAACCCGTGGTTGTCTACAAGCTATGCACTAAAGGAACAATTGATGAGGCAATTATGAAACGAGCCGACGCTAAACGTATTTTGGAGAAAATAGTTATATCAAAAGAACTACAATCTCTTAATATAAATACGCTATTAGAGATGAAAAAGCTAATGGAATCTAAAGAATACAAAATTGTTGCATCTGAAAAAGAAGGTAAGTTTTGGCCGTCAGATTTTCTAAATAATAAAGGTATATAAAGAATTGCTGAAATTAGTAGATCAATCTTTTTTGTAGTTTTTACAGAGATGGAATTGAACAACTTGTTAGATAGAAGTGATATGATGATTAAGAATAAAGTGATATAATGATATAAGTGACAACTGTGATGCGACTCTAATTTATAAAGCTAAATCAAGAATAAAATATAT